CAGCCACGTAACTTGGCTAAATCTGTTACAGTTGAGTAGACACGCTAGGCTAATTTGAACTGCCATGTGACGTTCCCTGCTTTTTCATGATGTCACATCTGAGAGTCGTTATCTCTTCATGGCCTATCTGTCATCGTTGGGACAATTCATGATTTTTTCTCTAGAGTGTGAGTTTTGTTCGGAGAGCCGATCCTTACCCATCTTATTTTTCCTCCACGTTTCCAAGGCTTTGTAGGATCATGACAAACGAAAACGACTGGGCGCATGGGAATTTTTCAGACAGAATTCACTATGCAGACTCTCATTTGCATCGTCGATACTTTACTCATCCTGTTTGAGATTTAACACAAACCCAACTATTGTTCCGAGTGACCACTCAATGTGATCTTCGCTCCGCCCTGGGGAATCGGCTGAGGCTAGGATAGCGACACAAAAAGGGACAGATGGCCCGTGATCTCTATTTTTGCCTCTCAGTTCCTAGTGTTTCTGAATCTTCCACCTATGTGCGGTATCTTTGCCTACGTTGGAGACCGTCAGGCTCTTCCTTGTCTCATCAAGGCGTTGAAGCGTTTGGAGTACAGGGGTTATGACTCGGCAGGTGTGGGAATCCATAATGGTAAGGAGTTGAAGATCGCCAAGAAGGTCGGCAAGGTTGCTAACCTCGAGGCTTACTGTGGTGGTGTCAACAACCCGGAGTATGCCGGTACCATGGGTATTGCTCATACCCGTTGGGCTACTCATGGCGCTCCCACCGACGCCAACGCTCATCCTCACTTTACTGAGGACCACAAGGTTGCTGTGGTCCATAATGGTATCATCGAGAACTACGCCAGTCTTCGTGAGGAGCTTATCAGTAAAGGGTATCATTTCACCTCAGAGACCGACACCGAACTTCTTGCTCACTTGGTTGCTGATGTTCGTAAGCAGATGGGTCCCGATCCTTCATGGTCCGTTATTGTCTCGTGTGCCTTGAGTCTCGTTACTGGTGCCTACGGTGTTGTCTTCACGTTTGAAGACGAGCCTGACTTGTTGATCGGTGCTCGCAAGGGTTCTCCTCTTATTTTGGGTGTTGGCGATGGTGAGTACATGCTTGCCTCCGATGCCTCTGCGGTTGTCGAGTACACTAAGGATGTTGTTTACATTCGTGATGGTGAGCTTGTTGAGGTCCGCAGGTCGGGTTATCGTCTTCGAAGTATTGATGCAATCAGCACACGTCAAGTTTCCGTCGATGAGGATATTAACAACAATCCCTTGGTTCAGTTGGAGCTCAATCTCGAGCAGATCGAGAAAGGTGGTTACTCCCATTTCATGCTCAAGGAGATCATGGATCAGCCACGCTGTCTCGAGAACTCTTGTCGCGGTCGGCTCTACAAGGTCAACTCGGATGACACGACCCACGGTTCCAATGGGGTTTCTTCCAAATGGGGAATTCGTTTGGGTGGTTTAGACACTACCGTGCGCGGCACCGATCAAACTGCGTTAGATGCTATATGCGGGGCCGATCGTATTATCATCTGTGCCTGTGGTACTTCGTGGCACTCCGGCCTCATTGGAGAGTATCTCATCGAGCAACTAGCTCGTATCAACGTTGAAGTTGAGTATGCCTCGGAGTTCCGCTATCGCAACCCTCTTCTAACTTCTAAGGATGTTGTTATCGTAATCTCACAGTCTGGTGAAACTGCTGATACCCTCGAGGCCGTCCGTATTGCCAAGGAGTATGGTGCACTGTCTATCGGTATCGTCAACACAGTCGGCTCCACCATTGCGCGTGACACTGATGCTGGAATCTATCTTCATGCTGGCCCGGAAATCGGCGTAGCATCCACGAAGGCCTTCACTTCACAAGTTATGGTTCTCACTCTGCTGTCTCTTCGTTTGGCTCTTGCTCGTGGTACGATTGATACTGAGTACTTTGACACCTTATGTGAGCAACTGTCTCGTTATCCCGAGATCATCCAGCGAGTGCTTAAGTTGAGCTCGCAGGTGAAGAACCTCTCAAGATATTTCCGACTAGCAAGCAACTTCCTATTCCTCGGGCGTGGTATTCACTATCCTGTCGCTTTGGAAGGCGCGTTGAAATTGAAGGAGATTTCCTACATTCATGCCGAGGGCTACCCTGCTGCTGAGATGAAGCATGGTCCTATCGCATTGATCGATCGCATGATGCCCGTTGTTTGCATTGCCCCTAAGAGTGATCCGACTTACGATAAGGTCAAGGCGAACATCGAGGAGGTCAAAGCTCGTAATGGTGATCTGCTTATCATTACCGAAGAAGGTAACCATGACTTGGACAAGTTCGCCGGAGACAAGGATTTCGTTATCCGTGTGCCGACGGTGGATGTTGTCTTACAGCCTATTGTTACTACAATACCGTTGCAAATGCTCTCCTATTACGTTGCTAACCTCCGCGGTTGTTCTATCGATCAGCCTCGTAACCTCGCTAAGTCGGTCACCGTCGAGTAGGATCGTTATTATTAAGTCAATCATTTTCTTTTTTGTTCTATAGCTTCTCACCCTATGCTGTCGTATTCGGTGGCATTATGGAGTGTTTGAGACATAGATTACTATCTAGTCGTATCCTTAGATGGAGGGCATATGAACTCATTTTGCCTGTAAACGGGCCAAAATCGGTCATATACGCTGTAAATGATAATCAAACTACGATAGATTGGACGTGATCTCTTGTGTTCGTCAATGGCTCCCGTATTGGAACTTCGCGGCTGTCCTTATCGGAGTCTGGTGAAAGTGGTGTTCTTATGTTTGATTTTCTATGGTATCAAGGGTTTCAGAAATGGTGGTATGTAGACGTCTCGAAATAGGTTGATAGGTGTCCATATCAACTTGCTCAACGCAGGCGCATGCATTTGTCGAGCTAGACGAACCCTGCCTTGGGTCATCAAATGCTCAGTGATACCGCGCGATCCGTATGGAGAGCGGAGGCATGATCACCGCTATCTGCAGTCTTTCGAACAGCCAACTTCCCGAAGGAATCCATCGCATCCATTCCGATACGTGCAGTTCGCTGTAACACTTACAGCACTCGGAGCGGTATGATACATTCCGCGTACGCGTTGCAACTCCCATCACTTCGTGCCCCCAACATGTCGGGGAATTCTACACCGAACAAAGGTTACGATAGCAAGCTCGGTTGTTCAACGCACGAAAGTGACAGTGACTCAGTCATGTGTGTGAAGGTTGTGACTGGGTCATTTCCTCAGTCGTTGCATTCTCCGTGATCATCGTTGCTTAGGTCAGTAGGTGGAAGCGAGAGGAGACTTCGACAATTCCAGTTACGTCGCTCACCATTGGTGAGTCGCCAATGTCATGATAATACGAAGGGGAGAGCAATTTTGCATCGCCAGTTGATGTTCGAAGTCACACGTGCGTTTACCAGAGCCTCTCCAGTTATCCAGTCTGTTCCCTAATGTATAGACAGTCGAATTGTGTTGGTAGTCCGCGGTTGTCTCCCACTAGGTGATGAGCATTGCACATAACAAGTTAGAAAGCAAAAGAATCCTTTCGCGTTGGCAATGTGTGCATGGTTGAATAGCCGGATACAGAGCGTTGATATAATTACGATGAATCTAGCAAAGCTAAGTTCAGACCTGGATGAGGGGACAACAGCGAATAACTAAGCTGAGCTGAGGAGATATTGTGCCCTCGACACAAGAAGTGACATTTCAGTGATTTCTGTGGAGATCCAGTATCGTGGTCGGACGTGGAACGTCGTAACTTGAACGTCGTGTCTCAGTTCATTTTGATCAATGTGCGGCATTTTCGCCTACGTTGGGGATCGACAGGCTCTTCCTTGTCTTATCAAGGCGCTTAAACGCTTGGAGTACAGAGGTTACGATTCAGCAGGTGTGGGAATCCATAATGGTAAGGAGCTGAAGATCGCCAAGAAGGTCGGCAAGGTCGCTAACCTCGAGGCTTACTGTGGTGGTGTCAACAACCCGGAGTATGCCGGTACCATGGGTATTGCTCATACCCGTTGGGCTACTCACGGCGCTCCTACTGACGCCAACGCTCATCCTCACTTTACTGAGGATCACAAGGTTGCTGTGGTCCATAATGGTATCATCGAGAACTACGCCAGTCTTCGTGAGGAACTTATCAGTAAAGGGTATCATTTCACCTCAGAGACTGATACTGAGCTCCTCGCTCACTTGGTCGCTGATATTCGTAAGCAGATGGGTCCCGAGCCCTCATGGTCTGTGGTTGTTTCCTGCGCATTGGCGAACGTCACTGGTACTTACGGTGTTGTCTTCACCTTCGAGGATGAGCCTGATCTATTGATCGGTGCTCGCAAGGGTTCTCCTCTTATTTTGGGTGTTGGCGATGGTGAGTACATGCTTGCCTCCGATGCCTCTGCGGTTGTCGAGTACACTAAGGATGTTGTTTACATTCGTGATGGTGAGCTTGTTGAGGTTCGCAGATCCGGATACCGTGTGAGGAACATGGCCGTGATCAGCGAGCGTCGCATGTCGGTTGATGAGGATATCGACCACAACCCGTTGGTAGAATTGGAGTTATCTCTTGAGCAGATCGAGAAAGGCGGTTATCCTCACTTCATGCTCAAGGAGATCATGGATCAAGCTAAGTGCCTGGAGAACTCTTGTCGCGGTCGACTTTATCGGTTGAGTGAGGCAACTGGTATACCAGCGGATTCCATTTCTAAGAAGTGGGGCATCCGTTTGGGTGGTCTAGATGTTACTATAGATGGGAAGGATCGCACGGCGTTGGAGACCATCGCTAGTGCCAGTCGCATCATCATCTGTGCCTGTGGTACTTCGTGGCACTCCGGCCTCATTGGAGAGTACCTTATCGAACAGCTGGCTCGTATTAACGTTGAAGTTGAGTATGCTTCTGAGTTCCGCTATCGCAACCCTCTTCTTACTCCCAAAGACGTCGTTATTGTGATCTCACAGTCTGGTGAAACTGCTGATACCCTCGAGGCCGTCCGTATTGCCCGTGAGTATGGTGCGACACCTATTGGTATCGTCAATACTGTTGGGTCGACTATTGCTCGTGATACTGATGCTGGTATATATCTCCATGCTGGTCCTGAGATCGGTGTCGCCTCCACCAAGGCCTTCACTTCGCAAGTTATGGTCTTGACCCTCTTGGCTCTGCGTTTAGCTATGTGCCGGAAGACGATTGATGCTGAGTATTTTGATACTCTATGCGATCAGCTATCTGAGTTCCCTAAGACCATCGAGAAGGTTCTGAAGCTCAATGGCAAGGTCAAGGACCTCTCTAGGTTCTTCCGTTTGGCTCAGAACTTCCTCTTCTTAGGCCGTGGTATCCACTATCCCGTCGCCTTGGAAGGTGCTCTAAAGTTGAAGGAGATATCTTACATTCATGCTGAGGGGTATCCTGCTGCTGAGATGAAACATGGTCCCATCGCTTTGATTGATCGTTTAATGCCTGTTGTCTGCATCGCTCCTAAGAGTGATCCGACGTATGATAAGGTTAAGGCGAACATCGAGGAAGTAAAAGCTCGTAATGGTGATCTCGTCATTCTTACCGAGGAGGGAAACTATGACTTGGACAAGTTTGCTGGCGACAAGGACTTCATCATCCGCATGCCGATTGTTGATATTGTGTTGCAGCCTATTGTTTTCACCATACCGTTGCAAATGCTTTCTTATTATGTTGCCGATCTTCGTGGATGTTCTATTGACCAACCCAAGAATCTTGCTAAGTCTGTTACTGTCGAATAAATGCAAGGATTGCATCGATTCGGATCGCTCGCGCTCGTAAAAAGCAAAGCGATTTCTGTCCGTGTTGTCACTCTGTTTATTAGCATGAACTTCTTATACTACTAAGGTCAAGTTCATGCGATGCTATGCGCTATTTGTGATTGCAAGTTGTCGTATCTGATGTATTCATATTTCACAACTGTTATCTAGCCTGCGTCTTGTTCTATCTTTTTCTTACTAACCTGTTGTTGTGTTCGAGCATTAGTTATAGAGTATGGTTCCCATGTTCTATGGTGCCATTATGGGACGATGGGACTACCCATAGGTGACCTATGAGGCTGACCTATGAGGTTGACCTATGATAGGTCAACCCTATGAGACCCACCCAACATTGCTAGTTGTTAAGTTGGCAAGTCCCTTGAGGGTCTCTGAATCCCCCTGGAGACTTTTGTGAGAGAATGCATTCGAAGGAACATCACATAGAGTTCATGTATTACTTCGAATAAGTGATGATTACGGAGCCATCGAGCTTAGTTACAAGTCTTGAGTGGCCACTATTACACTGGCGACTCTGATGAACTCGTAACTGAACTGTGGAGTCCTTCAGTGACCACAGTCCTTCGGAAAGGGTGCATCCACAACACTGATTCAAGAGCACAGAGATCTTGTTATCCGCGATTGAAGCAGCACCGTTGCAGTGTTGCAAAACGGTAATGTACGTTGAAATGCACGTGGTACCCCGAAGCGAGTTACCCGAAGCATCGTTATCCTTCGCAGCTGCGCCGCGTGTTTTACACTCTCCCTACCCACCTGTTCTGGGTTGAATCACTCGGCTGAGACAGCTCGTGGGCCGACCTGCGGAGCCCCCGCAGCGGAGGTCGGGTGCGCTAAGCCTTTTATATGTCGCAAATTCAATCATTGAAAGACTTCAGCCTCACCTTCTGGAATTGATTGATGAAATTTCGAAAGCAGAGTGTCTAGAACATGTCAATGACAGTTCACTAATACAGGGTGGTGCAAAAAAAAGAGCTCACCCCGCATGATTTCGCAGCAGGTGATAATTGGTGAACAACAAAGGCGTCATTCGAAGGCTCTCATCGAGCTC